TACAGCTTTGAAAGTTTCAGTTATAATACCAAGTGAAGGATTACGATGGAATAACACACATTCAGTTGCATAATCTCTGATCTACATGGCTGCATGTATGAAAGCAGAGTTGGAAGGATTTTAAAATTAATCAATGCACAACTGGACAAAAACTCTTCCTGCTATATTCCAATCTATCTGCCACTTCCATATTTCTCTTTTTTCTTACACATAAAAAAAATTCAAACATTTTCAGTGTGTTTCTTAATTTTTTCCCTCTTTCTCATCCTGTCTCTCAGGGTGATCTTGTCATCTCACATCAGTGTCGGCTGATCCTGACGCGCAGGCTGGTACTTGCAGTTGCCGTGGTAACACGTCGGTTTGGTTCGAGCCGGGACCCAAACACAGGCTGGATGTGACCTTTATATCACATACTGATCACACTGTTAAGGTCAGGGTTTGGATGGGCTAAGCTCTGTGTTTTAGCCAGATTATCGTGTCTGAAATGTCTTTATGGACCAGATTCATTTTATGGGAAACATTCAGAGGATTGGTGGAGGTGGAAAAGGTTGTTAAAAATCACATAAATGCAAATATTAAGCATATGCTACTGAGGATTAGTGCTGTATTTTTAAACCTTCTACAAAACCAAAAAGATCATTTTAATCACATTGTCTTAAAGGGGCAGTATTATGTAAAGTTAACTTTTTTGATATTTCCATCATCCTATAATATCAAAAACAGACCTGGACTGTTGCTTTGATTCTTCCATGCATGTTTGAGAAATCCTTTAATCTCCATGCAACCATTCAGCTGTGCAAAACGCCTGGGTGGACCTAGCCCCGCCTTCAAGGCGCAGCAACTCCTCAGTTTCCAAGCTTCTGCCTCACAGAGCAGCTCCTTCAGACTAGCCAGCAGCAATTAGCAAACACCTGGTGGAACTGCTGAGTTCATTATAGGAGCTATTTCTCAGAGCAACTCTGGTAAAAACTTTGTTAAAGGGTTAATAGAGGAGCCATGTTGAGACGACTTCCTGAAGACGGAGTTTCAGAAAGAGCAGGGGTTTTAAAGAAACAGAGGCCCGATTTCAAGGTGTTAAATTACAAAGTCAAATTTCTTTTCAGTCATATTTGATATATAGCATTTTAACAATTGATGGTAACATAGTTACTTGATTATGCTATAAAATGGCACTTTGTGCCTGGAAAACACATGATGCTGCCCCTTTAACAGATTTCTTCTCCATAAACAACAAAAGGGAAGCGTTGGTCTTTTTTACAGCCTTCACCAGCAACAGTTGGAACAATTTACCTAACAGTTACCTTTTTGGACTGTGGAAGAAAACCCGGAGAAACTCCATGCAGAAAGACCCAGGCTGTGATTGAAACCCAGGACCTTCTTACTGCTAACAACGCATCAAATGGAAAATAATGTGGGTGAAATTGGTAGTAAAACAAACATCATTTCGAATAATCACTGGGAAACTAGTCAATAAAATGGAGTAAGGTTAAATCTGCTTTACATTTATACAGACACATAAACAAAGCTCAAAGGGAAGACGACGCCTCACAGAGAAACAGATGGAGGGAAAAAGCAGAGAGGAAGACTGTTGGCTGATGACGTGAAAAAGCCAAAGACAGACGATGCGGCAGGTGTAGTTAAAGGTCAGCGCTCCTGTGATAAGGCGTGCTTGGACAGCATGCTCACAGCCAGCAGTCGAGTGCTTGTCGACACAATACCAGTCCACTCCACTGGCCGCAGCTCAGAGGCAAACAGAGACGGAGTGGTCACAGCCTAAAGACTCTGTTAAAAGCCCTGAGAAAACACCAACATAAAAACAGGCAGTGAGCAAAATGACCAGTAAAATATAGCAAAATAAACAACTGGTTATTTATCTGGTGCTGCCGTTTGGACATGTGATAAATTATGCAAGATGCCTCAGCAGTGGAGCACTGTGCGTCAACAGCTTAGACCAAATCCAAAGTAAAGTCAGATGATCAAACAAAGCAGGATTACTGATGAACAATTCAGAGGCAGGACTGGAAAGATCACTTTTTATTTCTCAGTTCAGTTTGTTGCCAAAGGCAGTAACTGCATTAGATTTAACACATGGGGGTAAATCTGTTACCACCCAAACTGAAGGTGAAGAAAGTGTTAAAACAGATTTACCTCTTACTGCAGTCTTAACCAACCTTTAATTTAGTAAAAAAAAAAAAATCTCTGTGTCACATTATATTCATAAACTCAATTAAAAGTACCTAGAACCTCAGTGGAAGTAAATAAATAAACTTTATTTAAATAGTATCTATTCCAAGTCAAAACCCACAAAGTGCTTCATAATAAAAACAGACAAAACACAAAATGATCATTTCATTTCCTTTTCTGGACGTGAATAGATTATTTAAAACATACCCAGTGATCTGTGCACACTTTGCTTCATTTGGTAAAACATTAAAATGTAGTTTCTGATAGTCTGAGCTGAATGTAGAACCCTGTTACTCTGTTTCTTATTCTGTGACCTTGTAAATGTTGACCTGCTCTACTTTAAAAGACCTAAAGTGATGTTTCCATTTGGGAATCATTTTGCTCTGAGAAGATGATGCTAAACGCAAAATTCACCAAAATGTTTTCCGGTGAGTTTCTAAGAAGTAAAGATTCTACATTTACACATTATTTCACTCTAGTTGGTTGGAGCTGCTGACTTCAGCATCTCCACTTGTGACATTTTCATAAAAGCAACATGATGTATTAGCAGCTCGCTGTTCTCTGACCAGCCATTAGTCTGACTGACATTGTGGAATAAACTTTGGTGGCTTATATATAAAAACTTGGTAATTTCTGCCAACTTTTGCTTGTATTTTTTTTATATTTCTGTGTGTGTGTGTGTGTGTGTAGGTGTGTGTGCGTGTGCATGTGTATGTGTGCGTGTGTGTGTGTAATTACATGTGAGAAAAATACATGAGTCACCAGATTTCCTCTGTGCTGTTGTGTGAAGTTGCTCATTTGTCTCAGTCAGTGCAGCATGTGTTTATTTGTCCCGGTGTTTGTGTGTGTGCATGTGTCGCCTATGGCTTCTATCTATGGAAGCAGAGAGATGAATGGAGCCCTGCAAAGCGATGTTGATTACACAGGCTCTTTCCTTCCTCCTTTGTCTTTCTGCTGCACAGAAAGCAGGAGGAACAGGAACAGGCAGAAAGCGCAACGGCAGGCCAAGAGTGAGAAACGAGGAAAGAAACTCCTTTAGGAGAAGAGATTACGGGAAAGGGACACGCAAAAAGTAATAAATGCATCTGCAGATAAAATGATAATATGATAATATAATAGCAATCAGGATTTCAACAAAGACACAGCCTTTGGAACCATCGGGTAACAGATGTGCATGAAAAAGGCTTGTGATCAAACTCTGGGAGACTTAAAGAACGGCTTTCATGTTTTTAACAAAAAGACATTTTGGAAACTTTTCTAGAAGCGGGTCAGTCCACAGCTTCTAAATTATCTGTGTCCTAGAAAATAAACCCCAGGACACCCTGTTGGAGAGCAACTTGCTGATTTAATATCTTGCATGGCAGATGTCTAAAACTACTGTTGTTTTATTATTGTTTCTTTACTAAACCTGTGAACTAGTTTTAATGTCGTTTCATAGGGTAGGTTGTTAGGGTTAAGGGTTTTTACCCCATGACTGCAGAGACGAGCTTTTGTTCAGCTGTAATTTGAGTTCTGTCTTTAGACTGTCTGCATTTATTTAATCAGATGTCTATCTTTTATTTTCCCCACTTAAAAATCCTCTAATTGAATTATATTTCATATTGGGAAAGTAATTATTCCACATGTTCCCAACAGGGCACTTCTCACTCAGACTGCAGGTTTACTGGTGGTTAATAGTTTCTAAAAGCAGAATGGCAGGCAGATATTTTCATCTTTCATGAATAGATGAATGAATTATTTCCAGTTATTGTTGCTGTTGTATAACTGATCCAGTAACTTTGTTCACTCTGCATATTTCATGTAAACAGAAATGGTTCTCCTGGTGGAGATCGAAGGTTTTGACAGAAAGGTCAACCACATTCTTGCTGCTGGTAACTTTGGGTGCATTCACTCCAGATCTGTTCAGCCTGTTTTAATCAAACTCCAGTCCATTTGTCTAGAAAGTCCGGTTTGTTTGGTGTGAATGCTAATTGAACTCTGGTCTCAATTCGATTAAAATTAACTCTGGTTTGGTTCCAATGCATATGTGAACTCCTAATGGTCCGGAGACCGCTCTAAAAGCACAAAATGGACTACACCGCAAGGCATTCTGGGTAAAGACAGTCAAAACAAACGTGCTAGCCTAGCATTAGCGGGAGAAATGTCTTGTGGTTTTTAGCCAAAGACTAAAGAGAAATCCTCCAACCGCTAAAATCCTCCATCTTGTTTCCATCTGGTGAAGAAGGAAGTTGCTCTCAGTGTCTTGAGAGGTTCTTGTGTCATTTCCTATAGTGGTTCTTGGTGCAGCGCCCCCACAGGCCAGGAGGGGAACAGGTTGGTTTGACTCAGAGCAGAGAGAGAGAGAACCACAGCAGCTGGAGGTGGAGCAGATGACGGAGTTTTGGTCCCAATGGAACTGAGTCTACCAGATTATCTGGCATAAAAACTCCTTAGTGAACTTTTTGTTTCCGTATGTCGGTGGAGGAACTCTGCCCCAGTGCTTCTGTCTTTTTGCCCAAGCCGTCTTTTGTCCTCTCTGCCCCTTCTAGCTGATTGAAGGTTTCTTCCTGGCCGTCTCCACCGTCTCTACATCCTGAGTCAGGAGGTTGTGTTGCTGCTTTTGTGCTCGTTGTATTTGTGTTGTAATGCATGTTTTGAACATCTTTGCTGAAAAAATGTTTGATCAGTTAAAGGAGGCAGCAGAGACACTATAAACTTGCACTGCCCTTCACCGCCTTGATTTCCTCCTAGCCACACCCACGTTCCCTCATCCATGTTTTGATTGGTCCAGCTGCCAGCAGCAGTCTGCTAACTCTCCCTCCTCCATCCCTCTATCCTCCATCCTCCCTCCCTTTCTGTCTCTGCCGCTCACCAGTGAATGAGTCCGCTCAGAGTCTCGCCGTTCCGTAGCGCAGCCTCTTCCTCTCTTTCTCTTCCACCGTTCTCTCTGTCCTTCCCTGCCTTTGGAGCAGACAGAGGAGCATCGGCACGGCAACGGAGCCACACAGGAGCAACGGAGAAGCCTGGAAACAAACGAGCTTCTGAACATTTCCAACATCAACACATGCATCCAACGTGAAACAGTTCCAAAGACAGACCGGAGCAACAGATTGCTCTTTAGGTGCAACTGTTGCTGAAACTGATGGTGGCCCACCTGATCTGAGACGAAGCTGGCATCTGCGGATTTGGGAAAACAGTTTCTCTGAATGAAAGGAAAGCACTGACTCTGCCCAAAGCAGGAGGAACCAGCACTGCCAGGCGACGAGAAGAGAGGTCTCTGATTCATCTGGGAAAGCAAGACGGTTCATGCAGGGCGTGAACATCACCTTTACCACCCCGTCGTTCATCCTTCTGCAGAAACCAAAGATCACAAGTCATTTGGATGTGTAAAATAGATGGAGGATGTTGGTTCAGAGGTAAGCTGTGAATTGAGAAGAGCAACATCAAATCTAATTGTTGCAAAGATGCAGGTAAGGGCCACCAAGTGACGCCAGTAAATCCAACAGGAAATGACTTCTGAAGACCACAGAGGGTAAAAGAGCAGGATGGTTACAAGTATCTACTGAAGAACGAAACCAGGGAGACTCGCAATGACTGGCAGATGTTCTTCTCCAACAAAAACTGCATGAACACGAAGAAAGAAAGCATTCGTATCTTGCTACACTACTTTATTTTTTCTAGGATGTTTAGCACCTGTGGAGCTTGCTTCTTTAAAAGCATTCAAGCCTTTCCTCCTCCGTAACTTTTGCTGCAGCTAAATCTGCACCGATTTAAGTCGGTGTTGACGTTGTTGTTCCGACTCTTCTTTTCGGGGTGAAGTGGATCTGCCGTGGGGGCAGCTGACAGCCGTCCAAAACGCCGCGAGCCGTACTCCGCGTGAAGAATGCCCAGCCGCGCTTGGCCAAGCCGGCCGACCCGGGCCCGACGGCGGGCCTATACATGGAGAGATCGCAGAGCCGCATCAGCCTCTCGGCGTCCTTTGAGGCCCTCGCCATCTACTTCCCCTGTATGAACTCCTTCGATGAGGACGATGGCGGTAAGTGGGCATGAACACACAGTAGGCCTGCTGCAATAAGCAATTCATCATTAATTTGAAATGAACTCAATAATTTCCATTTGCACAAGTTATTGCTACTCTTTTTCTTCCAAAAGCTGGATGATAAAAGTCTTCAGTTTGGTGTTTTGGTTTCAACTCGTCATTTTTTGAAGGACAATTTTGTCCTTCTAAAAATGTCTTATTTGTTGTTTTTGTTTAAAATGTCTTTCTGTTTGGTTTTTCAGTATCTGTTCTTGCATTATTGTGCCTTTACTGTTATAATACTTGAAAATTATGTCAAAGCAATATTATCGGTTATTGCGATAATTTCTGGGCCGATTTATCCCAGAAGCAATCACATTTGTTCTAAGATTTCTCGATCCATTCAGCTTATTGTTGACCTGACTGTTTTCAGAGTTCAGATGTTTTTAAATTACATTTTAATTCCAATTTTGGATCAGCATTTTTAAAGGACTTTGGTTTACAGTAAAGAAGTGGAGCTAAAATCTTCAACTAATGAAAGGATTATACCTGAATCTATCATTTATCCACAGTAAAACATCAGTTTTTGTGCCTCCAGCTGCAGGTAAAGACGATGAAATGTTTTGGATTTCACAGTATCAAACAAAAATAAACTTAGATGAATTAACTAGTTCATGATCCATTTTCATGACTTGGGTCTTAGTTGAACATTTACCACCATTTTTTGAAAATAGACATTCATTTTTACAGTCAGGTGATTCTACTTCAGTGACATACATTCTGCTAAAATCGAGACATTTTGGATAAGTTTAGAGGAAGAGGAGGAGCCTGTCTGAGTTTATGATGATGTAATGCTTTTTGATCTGGACTGGTATTATTGCTGAATTTTATTACTCCTGGTTTGCCGTCACACTAATCTGGTCTGGAAAACGGCAGTAGTAGATAATCTTTTTGATGCAGTCTGATGTGAGAGATGAAGGAAGATTTTTACTTGGATGTGGATCCCGTGGCATTTAGAGTAAAGTTTGAACTGTATTCTGCACATTATTCAACACTGGAACATGTTGAAATAAAATTGTGAAATATCAATATTATAACCAATAAGAGGTTAGAACAGTGGTACAGAAAAGCACAGAACGATTCACACCGTTTCAACACATTTTGCTACATTACAACAAAAACTTTCTTTATTTTATTGGGATTTTATGTGATAGGCTCAGAAAGTTGTGCATAATTTAGAAAGTGGAAGGAAAATGACTCATGGTTTCATTTTTTCCACAAATGAATAACTAAAGAGTGTGGTGTGCTTTTTCACTCTGATTCCCTGAGTCAATACTTTATCTGTTTGCATGTGAATGTGAGGTGAAAACTCAGCAAAATCCGATTTTTTTTCTTTTTTACAAATGATCTTCAAATCATTTGCATAGGCTTCATAGTTTTGCATTATGGTAGAAAGAAGCTACACGTTCTGGAAATCTTTAGGATTAAAGGTATAAATATTGTAACCTTACACTGCAGCGTCTCTCATGCCTGTGTACGCGCTGCTTTTTGCTTCAGCAGCGTTTCTCGATCCAGCAGGCGGTGAGCGCTGCAGCTGAGCAGCTGATGCGTTGCGTGTGGAGAATGTCATGATATTTATTATGGCTGCCATGTTAATCTCTCTCCCAGTGCTGCAACCACAAGCCGTCTAATGTTTCTGGGTGGTTTCTAGTTTAAAGTGGCCTTCAGCACAAACACACATTTAAAACATTTTAACCTCTTAGTCGTTGTTTCTTCTGTTGCATTCGGAGGTCACCAGCAGACCAACCATCCCAGACACACCGCTCCACCAACCCTCTGCTTATCGTACTTCACCACATCCATAAACCTCCCTGGTCCCTTTTGCTCCTGCCTGGCAGCCATGCATCCACCATCACTTATCTAACATGCCTCTTCTTTGCACATCTAAGCTAAGACTCTGTAATGTTGTCTCTAAACAGCTCCACTAGGTTCTTTAAGTTATTTCCATTGTGGCTACTCCCAAAATCAGAACATCTTCTTTTCTGCCTCCAAACCAGATTATAGTAAATCTCATTACTGTCATGAAACCTTTTCTTTCATTCCTCCACAGACTCATCTCCATCACACCATTTCTTTTCTCGTTTTCATTGACTTTCCTTCATGTTTCCAGAGTTCACTCTGTTTCCTGAGCTCCTCCTGGTTCTTAGTTTGATACTTTGAATCATTGCAACTACAGATAATAAGCAGGTAGAAATAGTAAACTGGATTAATATCGATCAGAGAGGAACATTTAAACTGCAGATATTACCTGGCATCATTGGTAAAATCAGTGCAGCTGACAAACTCAGTGATCCTCTCAGTCTCTTGGAAGATGGATCATCTTCTGGTGCCGATTAGGGTAGGGTTCATATTTCTACCCTCTCCTTAGAACATATAAATACTCTTCACTACTGTTTTTCTTTTTCTTTGTTGATGCTTTTGTTTTCAGTTTATTTTGTTTGTATATAACTTTGTTTTTGCTTTTATTTCACTACGTTCAATAAAGTCAAACCAAACCGAATTAATGTTTTTACATGTTTTTTTCTTACAGACATGACTGTTTTACTTTTAATATAAATATTTACTGTAAACTACACTACTTTTAGCTATTCTTTAAATTCTGTCATAAATCATAGGCTATGGATGTTGTTATACATGTTAAATGATTTTTTTATCCCTTCCATCAGATGGAAATTGGCCTCTGGGTAAATCTGGCATATTTACGTGAATATTATTAACTGATTAATTCACACTGTCCACTTCATGAAGTAAATAAAATTCATAGCAACTTTGAAACTACAACTTTTCACAACCTTTAAAAAGTTTTATACCTTGATACTGGTAATGTATTGAAGCCCAAGAAATATTTATGAGTGTATTTTAAAACTAATAACTCAGAGACACACAGATGGTGTAAGAAAAAAGACGGTAACATTGATCATGTCATTACCAAATAAGGTTTATTTTCATTGATTATAATAAAAACAATGCTGAGCGTTTTGTTTGTGGAGTTTTGCTTCTTGCAGGTTTTGTCATGTCTGGACACAGATTGTGAAAATGGGACTTTATGTGCTCAGATGATGCTCAGCAGCTACACACAGATTTGACAGAAGTGTATGAGGTAATCAGAGCGAAGCGGCAGGCCGTGGTTTGTGGCTCTCAGACTAATTAAATGCTAATATGGTTGCTGATTGTGGCTGACTGCAGCTAAATAGAGGCTTGATTGCAGGTTAATTCTCGCTCTCCGCCTCTCTGTCTCTGCATCTCTCTGTCAGACTTTCATTCTCTCCGAGTCATTTGCCCTCCATGGTTTGAAAACCCGGTTTGCAGGTTAATTCTGTCCTTCCTTCACAAATTGCCTTTTAATTGCTTTACCACTTGTTTTCTCTCCACTCCCATTGCTCTCCCTGGTCCCGTTCACGCCTGCGTTAGCGCCCGTCTGCTGCAGTATTCATAAAGTTGAGATGAGTTGAGAGTTGGTTTTAATGCTTCAGACATGAAATGAGATCAAGCACCTCCAAAGGGAGCGCGGTCAGGTTGTGGCTACATCTTAGCAAGATGTACGAGGAAAAAACTTTGACTATAAATAAATGATCATCTGCTGGTTTGTGCACCGCTACTTTGAAACCCACATTTATTCATACTGGCAACGTGACTGTGAGATTTCTAAACAATCCACTGTGTCAGAGTCCGGCTCCGTGGTAGATTAATTTAACTTATGTAGCATTTCTAGTTCAACTTAGGCCTGTCACAATGACAAATTCTGATGAACCATAAATTGTCACAGAAGTTATTACGATAATATTGTTGTTTTTGAGACCATTTTTGATCAATATAAAGGTAATAATGCAAGAACACATTCTCAAAGATCAATAAACATTTATCACTGCAACTGGAATACATTTTAAATATCCAAAATAAATAAACAAAACAGAAACAACAAATAAAATGAATTGTGAAGTGAATAATCCTTTAAAAGAGGCCAAGACAGACTGAAAACTTTTATTATCCAGTTTATCCAATCCTTGAATCTCCTGTGGCAACCATTCAGGGATGCCTTGACCTTTGCTCCTTCTCTGAGCTGCAGCCTCACAGATCCTGCAGACTAGCGGCAGCAGCGATTAGTAAACACCTGGTGGAAGTGTGAGTCTCTGAGCTTCTCTTATGAGCTATTCTCAGTCCAACATTCCTGAGAATGGTTCTGAACGGCATATTGGAACGGTATTGTTGTGGTGATGTGCTGAAGGCGTCTGAGCTTAAAGACAGGCGTCTTTAAGCACATCGAGAGGTGGTGGAAGGAGTTTACAACCATCTGATTGTAAGACGGTTGATAGGTCATGATCAAGAGTCTTTGTCACTTTTTCTTTAGCTGCTCAGCTCTCACTCTCAGTGGCTCCACCCTGCACACAGCAGAACCTTGTTTTGATTGGTAGTTTTAACTGGCCAATCACAAGGGAGAATTTTGGATCGTACCATTCTGTGAAAACAGCAGGGGGGACAAACATGGCAGTCAGCTCCAGAGTCTGTCCGTCTTCTCAGGAAGAGAGTGTCACAATAAAACAAAAAACTTAAATATGACTGACACAAAGCGACACCTGGTTGCAGTTTGAAGATATTTCATTACATCATAATAAATTATTATTTCATTTACTGGATATGTTTGTAGTGTTAAATAGAAATGACGGTTAATTAAAATACTACACAAAGTGAGAACCCTGTTTATGTAACAGATCAAATACATAAAACTGGAGCATAATTTCACAAATCACTGAACTTCATATTTGCCACTTTAAGCTAAAATATGAGGCTACAGACAATAATAAATTACAGTCGGCTCTTAAAAAGTTAAAAAGTCCAGAAATCACACACTATGCAGGCAACTATTTTTAGTTCAACTTTCCTTTATTGGTCAAAAATAACTTCTAAATGATGACTTCAAGACGTGATATAAGAATAAATGAGAATAAACATATAACATT